GGAGGAGGAGGAGGAGGTGGAGGAGGAGGAGGAGGAGGAAAGGAAGGAATGAAGAAGAAAAAGAAAAATGAAAAAGAAGAAGAAGAAGAATAGAAAAACGATAAGGGAGAGTAGAAAATAGCGGAGGATAAATAACGATGGTGACAAAAGAAGGAGGAGGAGAAGGAGGAGGAGGAGTAGAAGGAATAGGAGCAGACGATAAACGGGAAGCAGACGAAAGAGCAGGAAGGAAAACCGTAATAAACAAGTGCCTCCAATAACATAAAATACCCTACCCGAGGGAGACTAAAAAAGGGAGGGATTGGGGAGAGGAGGAGGAAGGGAGGGAGGGAGAGGAGGGAGGAGGAAGGGAGGGAGAGGAGGGAAAAGGAAGGGAGGGAGAGGAGGGAGAAGGGATGGGCAGTGGGGAGAAGGGAGGGGAGGGAAGAGGAGAAGGGAGAGGGGGAGGGAGAAGGATGAAGGATGGGTAGAGGGGAAGGGAGAACAAGGGATAGGGAGAGGAGAGGAGAGCGAGGGAGAAGAGGATGGGAGAGAGGAGAGGAGGAAGGGAGAGAGGAGAGGAGGAAGGGAGAGAGGAGAGGAGGAAGGGAGAGAGGAGTGGTGGAAGGGGGAGAGGAGAGGAGAGCGAGGGAGGAGAGGAGAGCGAGGGAGAAGAGGAAGGGAGAGAGGATAGGAGGAAGGGAGAGAGGAAAGGAGGAAGGGAGAGAGGAGAGGAGGAAGGGAGAGAGGAGAGGAGGAAGGGAGAGAGGAGAGGAAGACGTGGGAGAAGAAGAAATGAGAGAATAAAGGAGGGCGAGAGAGAGGAGGAAGAGGGAGAGGAGAGGAGGAGTGGTGGAAGGGGGAGAGGAGAGGAGGGCGAGGAAAAGCAAGGGAGAGATGCGAGGAGGACGTGGGAGAGGAAGAAATGAAAGAGGAGAGGAGGGCGAGAGAGAGAGGCGGAAGGGGGAGAGGAGAGGAGGAGAGGAGGACGTGGGAGAGGAAGAAATGAGAGAGGAGAGAAGGGCGAAAGAGAGGAGAGGAGGAAGGGAGGAGAGGAGAAGGAGGAGAGGAGTAGAAGGAATAGGAGCAGACGATAAACGGGAAGCAGACGAAAGAGCAGGAAGGAAAACCGTAATAAACAAGTGCCTCCAATAACATAAAATACCCTACCGAGGGAGACTAAAAAAGGGAGGGATTGGGGAGAGGAGGAGGAAGGGAGGGAGGGAGAGGAGGGAGGAGGAAGGAAGGAGAGGAGGGGAAAAGGAAGGGAGGGAGAGGAGGGAGAAGGGATGGGCAGTGGGGAGAAGGGAGGGGAGGGAAGAGGAGAAGGGAGAGGGGGAGGGAGAAGGATGAAGGATGGGTAGAGGGGAAGGGAGAACAAGGGATAGGGAGAGGAGAGGAGAGCGAGGGAGAAGAGGATGGAAGAGAGGAGAGGAGGAAGGGAGAGAGGAGAGGAGGAAGGGAGAGAGGAGAGGAGGAAGGGAGAGAGGAGAGGAGGAAGGGAGAGAGGAGAGGAAGACGTGGGAGAAGAAGAAATGAGAGAATAAAGGAGGGCGAGAGAGAGGAGGAGAGAGAGGAGGAGAAGAGGAGAGGAGGGCGAGAAAAGCAAGGGAGAGATGCGAGGAGGACGTGGGAGAGGAAGAAATGAGAGAATAAAGGAGGGCGAGAGAGAGGCGGAAGGGGGAGAGGAGAGGAGGAGAGGAGGACGTGGGAGAGGAAGAAATGAGAGAGGAGAGAAGGGCGAAAGAGAGAAGAGGAGGAAGGGAGGAGAGGAGGAGAGGAGGAGAGGAGGAAGGGAGAGATATGAGGAGGACGTGGGAGAGGAAGAAATGAGAGAGGAGAGGAGGGCGAAAGAGAGAAGAGGAGGAAGGGAGGAGAGGAGGAGAGGAGGAAGGGAGGAGAGGAGGAGAGGAGGAGAGGGGGAGAGGGGGAGAGGGACACTCCAGCCCAATCCAAATAAGAGCTTCTTAATTGAATAAGTCAGCTGTGGATGTGTGGATATTCGATGTCGGCCGGAAGAACGTTGTCTGGCTCCCCGGATTAGATTAAGACTTTTAGATTTTGTTTTTTGTTTCTTTAGACTTTTTTAGAATTTAGACTTAGACGTAGAAGGAGGCCTGTGCTCTGGCTCCTACGAAGGAGATTTAGATTTTGACGCATTTTTTTTTTTAGATTTTAGAATCTTAAAATTTTCGATGTATATGATCTCTCTCTCTCTCTCTCTCTTCTTTTTTTTTTTTTTTTTTTTTTTTTTTTTATCTTTAGGGATATAAATTTCACTGAGAATTTGAACTTCGAATATGCCATTAGATTTTTTTTTTTTTTTGAATTAGACTTTTGGAGTTTTTCTTTAGGTAAAACTCGTCCAAGTAAATTGAATTAGATTGCCGCAGACTTTGAATCTTAAATATACGACTCTGACTTGGCATGTTGATATTGGTGACAAAGACAGAATTAGAGAGAGAGAGAGAGAGAGAGAGAGAGAGAGAGAGAGAGAGAGAGAGAGAGAGAGAGAGAGAGAGAGAGAGAGAGAGAGAGAGAGAGAGAGAGAGAGAATGAGAGAGAGAGAATGAGAGAATGAGAGAGAGAGAGAGAGAGAGAGAGAGAGAGAGAGAGAGAGAGAGAGAGAGAGAGAGAGAGAGAGAGAGAGAGAGAGAGAGAGAGAGAATGAGAGAGAGAGAGAGAGAGAGAGAGAGAGAGATAGAGAGAGAGAGAGAGAGAGAGAGAGAGAGAGAGAGAGAGAGAGAGAGAGAGAGAGAGAGAGAGAGAGAGAGAGGGAGAGGGAGAGAGAGAGAAAAAAGGGGAATATTTTCTGACACACACAAATCCACAAGCATTCCAAAAGCACAGAAGAAAAGAAAAGAGAATAACAAATAAAGAAAGCAGCCAAGAATAAAGAAGAGAAACAGAAAAGCTTCCTTGCCAGACAAAAGGGAAAAATCTGAAGGCAGTAACCACAGACAGCCAAAGTTCCCTCGACGAGAAGAAACAAAATGTGGATAGACAGGTGAATAAATATAGAAAAGAAAGAAAGAAAAAAAGAAAAAAAAAGAAAGAAATACAGATCTTCTAATTCTCGTTTCTCTTGTTTCGCCCCCTCTTCATTTCATTTCCTCCTTCGTTTTTCAGGAGGAGAAGTAGGAGGGGGAGGAGGAGGAGGAGGAGGAGGAGGAGGAGGAGGAGGAGGAGGAGGAGGAGAAGGAGGAGGAGGAGGAGGAGAAGGAGGAAAATAAGAAAATTACGAATAACAATAATAATAATAAGGAGAAAAAGAAATAAAAGAAAAAAGAGGAATCGAAACAAACAAACACGCTCTTTAACTCCCATCCAACAAAAGAAGAAATACAAGACAAACGCAATAAACAGAGCAATTAAAAGACCAAAGGCTAAAACGAAACGGGGAAACAGAAGCGACCCTTTTCCCCTCTTCGCCCAACTTCCCCTCTCGTAAATCATCCCCCCCGACCCTCTCCCCTCTCTCCCCCTCTCTCCCCCCTCTCTCTCCCTCTCCCCCCTCTCTCTCCCTCTCCCTCCCTCTCCCCCCTCTCTCTCCCTTACTCTCTCCCTCTCCCCCCTCTCTCTCCCTCTCTCTCCCTCTCCCCCCTCTCTCTCCCTCTCTCTTCCTCCTCTTGCTCTTCCTCCCCATTCCTGTTCTTTGGAATCTTGGTAAGAGAGAGAGAGAGTAGAGAGAGGGAGAGAGCAGAGAGATGGAGAGAATAAAGAGAGGGAGAGAGAGAGGGAGGGAGAGAGGGAGAGAGGGAGGAAAGGGAGAGAGTAGACAAAGTCAGCGAGACAGAGAGACAAAGACAAAGACAGAGAGAAAGACAAACACACAGAGACTGAGAAATAAACAGATAGATAAAATTATCGGGAAGATTTCGCTCGCTCGCCCGCTCTCTATTCTCGCTACTTTCTCTCCACCTGTCCATTACCTCCGCCGAAACCTCTGTTAAGGCGGGAAAGGCATCTGGGATACGAGCATAAATATATATGTTTATTTATTTATTTATTTGTTTATTTTTATATATTTATTAACTATTTACTTTTTTGCTTGCTTGCAAGGAGACGGATAGGAATGAATTTGTTTTTTGAATTTATCCTAAGGAAAGTAGTAGAAAGTAGTTTGGGTCTATAACGTATCCTGTCTTGAGGGAGTGGAGTGGAGGGAAGGGGGGGGGGGGCAGAATAAGCCTAATCCGACATATACAAAAATCCTAATATATTTCCCTGCCGTCATATCATCGTTTCACTGATATGCGATATCTCATTACCTCCCAATTTGAAGTGGAGTTCGGATCTACTTCATTCATCTACTTCAGCTCGAACAGCAGAGGAATCTTCCATTTTGAAAAGGAGAAAGCGATTTGACGTCTTTTATATTTCCTCAAGGACCCGCGGCGGGGGTTGGGGGGGAGGGGGGGAGGGGGAAGGGGAAGGGTCGGGAAAAGGGCGTAGGGGGGAAGGGTTGGGATGTGGGGGGGGGGGGGAAGAGAGAGAAGGTGAAGAGGTGGGAAAAAGGGAAGGTGGGATAGGGAGAGGGAGGAAGGTAGGAAGGAAGAGGCGCAGGAGATGGAAGAGGAGGAGGAAGAGGAGGAGGAAGAGGAGGAGGAAGAGGAGGAGGAGGAGGAGGAGGAGGAAAGGAGGGAGAGGAGGGAGAAGAAAGGGAGGGAGAGGGGAGAAAAAAGGGAGAAGGGAGAAGGAAGGGAGGGAGAGGGGAGAAGAAACGGAGGGGGAGGAGAGGGAGAGGAGGGAGGGGGGAGGAGGAGGGACGAATCTCCGGTGATACATGACGTACGGTTTTTCCCTCCGTAGATGACTCGACACGAATACAATACACCCTTTCAGGGAGATTGCACGCAGGCTGCAACAAACCTGCTCCCTCTTCCCCGATTTTTGTTCCCTGTTCCGTCTTTCGCGGATCTGATCGTTCCGGCGAGCGCGGGCGGGCGAGCGGCCGGCGCGCGCGCTCGTCGGGGCGCAAGGCGGCGAGCGAGCGAGCGAGCAGCTCAACGAGCGGTTACCTGGACGATGTGCGGGAGGTGGTGGATGGAGATGTTGTCGGCGCCGTCGTGGTCCCCGACGACCCCCGAGTCGTCGAGGGACGGCTGGCGGTGCGAGGCGTTGTAGCCCAGCCGCAGGTGCGGCCGCGGCTCCTCGCAGCCCCCCCGCAGGGCCACGATCCCCTGCTGGGGCGCGGCGCCCCCTGCGTGCTGCCTGGTGTGGCAGTGGCAGGTGCAACAGCGGGTGGAAGCTGCAGTACATGGGTCGCAGGAGGAGGAGGCCCCGGTGCGAGGCGCCCCCTCCCCGCCCCCGGGGGGCGCCCCGTCCCCCTCGGGGGCAGGGGGGCCCCGGTGGCCGTCCCCCTGGCAGGGCTGCGGCGAGGCCGGGTGCGGGGAGGGCGCTGCGGGCGAGGCGGAGGGCGGGGGCGTGATGACGAGCGACGCGGGCCGAGAGAGCGGCTGGCTGCCCTCCAGCACCCCCAGGTGAGACCCCCCCAGCCGCGGCGTGGTCGGGGGCGCGTCCGGCTGCTTGGGGGTGTCTTCGGACGAGGGACTCCCCCGGCCCTTCCCTTCCTTCTCGCGCTTCTTCTTCTTCTTGTTGGCGAAGGCGTCGGTGAGGATGCCGGCCCCGCGCCGCATCACGATCACACGCCGGTTCTTCGGCTTCTTCTTCTCCAGCGGCTTCGCGTGCGTCAGCTTCTCGGGGTCGAAGCTGAAGGTGGAGTCGTCGCGGTGGTCCATCAGGTCCTTGGTCTTCTCCTGCGGCCGAGGGAGAGAAAAGAGGCGTTAGCATCGGGGCCAGTCAATAAAGGCGGCGTTAGGGCCCCTTAACAGAGCTTTTTTATCTCTTAAAGAAGGCGCAGAAGGAAGTGCGGGGGATTTCTCGCTGCTTATCTGGCCCTTGGAAATAGGAGCGATCGCGAAGGGAAATGTGATAATCAGGCGACGAGAGATAAGGCGGTGAAATGTTGCAAAGGGGGGAAGGGGACGAAGGGAAACAAAAAGAGGGTTGGGGAAAGAGATAATGAGAGAGACAGAGGAGGGAGAGAAAGGAAAAAAGGAAAGAGAGATAGATAGACAGATAGATAGAAATAGATAGATAGATAGAATGATAGATAGAGAGATAGAGAGATAGAGAGATAGATAGAGAGAGAGAGAGAGAGCGAGAGAGGGAGAGAGAGAATCCAAGAAAGAGAGAGAAGAATACGAGAAAGAGAAAATGACAGAGGGTAATGATAAAGATAAAAAAGAACAAAATACAAGGGCAACATTAAACCGCCTGTGATTAAAGGACCTTATAAGCAGCGAGACTCCTCACAGGCCTCGAAAATCTGCGCGTGTCAGGTGCCATAACCAGTGTCAGGTGCCATAAGTGGTGTCAAATGCACAGCGACACAGACATGGCTCTGGTACCGGACATGACACGTGCTTTTTTGCTATCTACGGGCCTTACTATTCAAAATATCTTTTTATACTATGTGGTGATGAACATGTCTGAAAGTCCATTTAAAGAAACAGATATATGCATGCAAATGTACACATAAATACACACGAGGAGACACAAACGCACACCAACGTACACATAAACACACACAACCATTTCCTTCATAAACACACACAGGCAATACCACAAATAAAACAACCCACGGTTCCCACAGACAGACACATAACACACACACTCACGCACACACACACACACACACACACACACGCACACACACACGCACACACACACACACACACACATACACAATCTCTCTCACTCCTACCTCAGAAAGTTTACAAACTCTCCTTCTTCCCTGTTAGAACGACGTATACTTCCCTTTGTGAGGGTTTATATACCATACTAATTATGAGGCCCCTTTTGGCGAGGGTGCTGTGAGGGGGAGGGGGGAGGGGGGGAAGGATGGCATACAGGGAAGGAGGGAAGGAGATGGGAGAGAGGAAAGGAGGGAGAAAGGAAAGGAGGGAGGGAGTGGGAGGAAGGAAGAGGGATGGAAGGGGAAGGGATGGATGAGTGGGAGAGAGGGAAGGAGGGAAGGAAGGAAGGAGGTGGAAGAGGGAGAGGGAGGGAGGGAGGGAGGGAGGGAGGGGGAGGGAGAGGGAGAGGGAGAGAGGGAGAGAGAGAGAGAGAGAGAGAGAAGAGAGAGAGAGAGAGAGAGAGAGGGAGAGAGAGAGAGAGAGAGAGAGAGAGAGAGAGAGAGAAAGGCGGAGAAGGAAGGAAGAAGGATGGTGGGAGAGGCAGGGAAAGACAAGAAGAAACAAGAGAAAGAAAGAAAATGAGACAAACACTGAAAGACAGAATCCTTTTCCTCCACCTCCTCCTCCTCCTCCTCTTCCTCCCCCCTCTTCCTCCTCCTCGTTTCCCCTCCTCTCCTGCACCTTCCCCTCCTTCATCATCTTCTCACGAATAGATTAAGGAAAAGAAAAGGCGAGCATTAATTAATTCTAAAAGAACGTTGGCAGAGGATTTCCAGCGATCGTTATACCTAAAAGCGACGCCATCTTTTCTCTTCTTCAT